ACATATTAGCCGACAAATGGTAACCTAGATGGCTATTAATTTGTGAATGGATAGACAAAATGTGACTTCTTCATACAACAGAATTCTAGAATAGACAAGATCATAGTGATCAAAAGTGGATGAGTCATTGTCTGGGAGCCCAGCAAAATTGGAGAAAGACGGTAAAGGGGCACCAAGAACTTTTTGAGGTGGTGGAGTGTTTCAAAACTAGATTTTAGTCATAGTTACATGCTTGTATATACTTAATAGAATTATTTTACTTGTGAATTTAAAACAGATTTTATTATAAATAAATTATATGTCAATAAGCTATACCTCAATAAAGCTATGAAATAACTCAAGTTAATAATGCCTAATAAAGTATTAGCATGTTGGCTAGAGGTAATACCAAAGACATAGTTGCCCTTCTCAAGAAGCTAATGACAAAAATCAAAAGGACATAATAGAGATATCAGAACAACCATGCTACACAAATGAACTTTGAGATATTATCCCAGAACTGTTAAAAAGAGGCACAGTTAATTATTGCTGTTCCCAACATTCTACTAAATTGGTCAAACAATGCTAAATTAGGGAGAAAAAAGAAAAGAATTGAAGCATGTCTTGCATATTACAATTACGTGATTTTAAAAGAATATTGGTGACATGTAAACTATATAATGAGGAACACAGGCCCAGTTTGGGGCATCTCTCTGGAATGTGGAGATAAGGTGTCAAAATATCACTTTTAAGATTGAAATATATCAAAACAAATAAATATAGAGAGATATGATTAAGTGATTTTAAAATGTTTAATAATACTAAGTAGAACAATGTGTTTCTCCCAACTTGCCATGTTTCCTCAAATTTTACTAAAATGTTATGTGAAAAATATAAATAACATAAGCTTATGGAGACTAGTTTTGTAATATTTGTACCATGACATGGTTAACAAACTAATGTATTGACAGACACTGATGATAATTGATGAGGCCCCTCGAAGGAGATGGGTAACTAGCAAAGTTGTCCTAGTAAAC